TATATATATATATATGCACACTGTGTTACTGTAATTGATAATGTGTTTTCTTATTGACAGGACGATGAGGAACATAAGAAAGCACGTGGTGCTGAGCTGGAATATGAATCTCTCAAGGTAAAGACACGCACACAGTCTTCTCCTTCAGTTTTTTTTTTCACTGTGGCAAACCTCTTCAGTTTGCAGTCTTTAGAATTGAGTGAGTTATTTGAAAAGCAGTGGTTGCAAAATTCCTCCCGAAACTCATTGTAATCTCTCCAAGCACACAGGTGTTGAAACACCTAGAAGTTTGCTTGCTATACCATAAAGTCAGATAAATGATGAGGAAAATAAAGCAGTATATAAATCTCTCTCTCTTGTGTATTTAGCGACAGGAGTTGGAGTCAGAGAATAAGAAGCTCAAACATGATTTGAATAAGATGCGTCAGTCTCTGAGAGGCAGCGCTGAGGCCGGTTCTGCTGCTCCGGGTTCTCCTGTGTACACGGTCCTGCTGGATCAGCTGAACGCCTCCAACGAGGAGCTGGAGGTGCGGAAGGAGGAGGTGCTCATCCTGCGCTCTCAACTCGTCAGTCAGAAAGAGGCCATGCAACATAAGGTCAGAAACAAAACCTTTAATTCTTACATAAAATACTTTCGGATTTCCAGATGTTTCTAAACATGTAGACACCTCATTTAATATCATCTGTCACTAACATTTTTCTCTTCATAAGTCTTGTTAACCTCTCTAACTTAATTTCTCCTTTTGTCCTATGGTGCACTCATATCAGGATGAGAAGGTATGTTGGTCAGACAGCAGAACAATCATTTCACTTCACCTCTGTTCTGGCCTCTAAAATCGTATATCTTAAGATTGTTCTGTGTTTAGGAAGTTACTTTGAAATTAACTTGCCAAGATGCTCTTAATTTAAAGTAGTTTAAAGCATTTGTTAGTTAATTCTTCTGGAAAGCACAAACACTGTGCAAATGGTAACTATACAGTTTTAATGCAGGACCCTTTTTTTTTTAAACAGTTGAAATGTCACTTTTTTTTGTTTGAGAATGAAGTGAAGTGCTGCACTAGAAACTGTTCTTGTGATGTGTCTGATGCTTAAATGTCTGATAAAAGTCAAAGTTAGTTGATGGATGCTGTGAATTTTAACTTCCTTGTGAATGTGAACCTGCTGTATGTGTTTAGGAGACAATGACTGAACCGTTGCCGTACATTGAGGATGTGCAGAAGCTGACTGATGCCAAGGAAATCTCCCAGGCCTACATGGGCCTTAAAGAGACCAACAGGTACATTACTAATATTTACTTTTTTTTTTTCACTGTCAGTCAATCACATGCTGAATCACAAAACATGAAATCCATTGCAGAATTTACTGAATGTGTCCCTCATCTGGGATCCACTCATATATATGTTGTGATGTCCTCTGTCCCCTGTCTTCATGTTTTACAACAGAGGTTCTTAAACTTGCATCCCCCAGAGGGATAATACTTTTCATACGTCACAATATATTTATTTTTGTTAGATTGGTAAGATTTTTTTAATGTTTTGTTTGTTTGTTTGTTTGTTTTTTAAAGTTTTTTATGCTCACAGAGGTTTCTTTTTTATCAAAAGCACAGTAAAAACAGTAATATTGTGAAAGATTGTAACAATTTAAAATATTTTAAATTATAATTTAATCATGTGATGGAAAAAAAAATTCAGCAGCCATTATTCCAGTCTTCAGTGTCATATGAACTGTGAGCTGTAAGGTCTTATATAGACAGGTGTGTGGCTTTCCTAATCAAGTCCAATCAGTATAATCAAACACAGCTGGACTCAAATGAAGGTGTAGAACCATCTCAAGGCTGATCAGAAGAAATGGACAGCACCTGAGTTAAATATATGAGTGTCACAGCAAAGGGTCTGAATACTTAGGACCATGTGATATTTCAGTTTTTCTTTTTTAATAAATCTGCAAAAATGTCAACAATTCTGTGTTTTTCTGTCAATATGGGGTGCTGTGTGTACATTAATGAGGAAAAAAAATTAACTTAAATGATTTTAGCAAATGGCTGCAATATAACAAAGAGTGAAAAATTGAAGGGGGTCTGAATACTTTCCATACCCACTGTATATATATATAGAGAGAGAGAGAGAGAGAGAAAACTTTACTGACCCCAAACTTGTGAATGTTAGAGAATATTACATAACTATAATAATCTAGTGGTCTATTACTTAAAAAATTTAGAAATTTGGGAACACATATTCACTATTATCTAAGAGTTTTCCCTCAATAAACTCCTAATTACTGCTTTATTGAAAGTAAGTTACTTGTGGTAGTTATGTTTAGGTAATGGGTAGGGTTAAGGGGTCTAGAATATTTCATGCAGAATAAGGCATTAATATGTGCTTTATAACAGGGTTCCCACTTCTTGAAAGTACTTGAAAGCAGTGGCGGCTCGTGGGTTTTAAACTAGAGGAGGCACACTAATTGTATTGGTCTGGGATCCCTGCCGATTAGCTTGTTGCGCCATTTAATTAAGCCGACTGCTGTAACCTATATCCAGTTTAGGCTGTTTTCCCTAAATTTGTAAATATGGTTGATATATATTGGTTGATATCAGAAGGGAGGCAAGCCTCCCTTGCGAGGGTTCTTTTCTCAACACTCCTCAGTGCTGAAAGTGAACACTCGATGCTGATTGGCTAATTTTTTTTACCAACGGAGGCACGAGAGCTCAGCGTCTCCCCCGGCCTCCCCCTACCCTTCTCTAGCATTAGCGGTTGCAATTACATCACGGCGCTTTCACGTTATGGTATTACAACTGTGAAATTACAAACAAAAAATACACATTCTGAGACATGAACTGAAATGAATTGTGAATTTTATTAACATTAAATCGTCCTCCTCCCATTTTCACCTCAAAATGATGGGGAAGCTGTGCCTCCCCCGACGAGCCGCCACTGACTCTTAGTAGGCACAAATTATATGTACACATTTGAAGAACTAATTTCCTGTTACATAACTCAAAAAGAAAAAGATAAAATAAATCATTAGTTCATTATAACATTAAAACAAAATGAAGACCTCAGTATAAATGAACCTGTCAAACATACCCCCAAAACATCAAAACGCAAAGAAAACAGAGAGGCGTCTGCCTGAGCTTCACTCAAGTCTGTGAAGCTCCATTGAAGAACTGTCAGGAATTTGCTCAAATGAACTTCATCTGTCTCTTCACCATGTCACAACAAAGTTTGTATCAATAATTCATCCATTAACTGCAAAAGAATTAAGAATTAATGTGAAGAATTAGGTGTGAAACCATCAGGAACCTTTTAGTCTCCAGTGCCACTATTTTCCAGAACTGCAACCTTGAGTCTCCAGAATTACAAGGTGACAGGTTTTCAGAGACTTTGCTTGGGTCAAAAATCCTATTATAGAATAAAATTCTGAAGTGTTGTGAAATACATGAAGACTATTTTTATAGGCTTTATGGACAGATAAGTTGAGAGTGACTCTTGAAGGACCAGCACCACATCCTCTGTTTGAAGAATTGATCTTCCAGAATCTGGCAGTAAGTTTTAGGAGCTCATTTTTGTCAGTCTCTGCAAGACAGACTTTTCAGGATAGGAGATGGACTAAAAATGCACTCCCAAAACTTACTGCAACATGGAACTAAGGAGAAAATGTAGAACTTGAAAAATTCGAAAAACAGCTTAGTGAAAAGCGTTTACAGTTTAAAAGCAAATAGAAAGTCCTTTTTTTTTTTTTGCATATTTGAGCATGTACAAGTTTTAAAATGTTCATGAAATATTTTCAAAAAATATTGACACTTTGAGCAGCTGCATTCCTCTAAATCAAAGATGAAAAAATGGGATTTACAATAAAAAGTCATTCACAAAATTATTTTGACTTCTGAATTATTTATTTATTAATGAGTAACGTCTCTTTTGAGTGAATGTGCAAAGTTTTACCATGTTATGACAACATTTAACCACTTTTTATTAATTTAAAAATTGAGAAATTCTTTCCAATTTAAATCTTGTACAAGAACTACAGCAAAAATCAGTTTGATGCATATTTTATCAATATTTTAGAAATTTAATTTGAATATTACCAGTACTGACTTCAGTGGATTTCATTAAATTCCTTTGAACACAACTGCTCAAAACGGTCTAAATTTATGAAACCTACACATTCAAAACATTATTACTCTGAAATTTTTAATGTAAATGTTAAGTGTAAGTGAAATGTTAAGTACTGTAAGGTCTTTCATGACACTACATATTCTGGGGTGTGAATTTGATTGGTGCTTGATATAAAATAAATGGTGCTTTAAAAAGTCCTTGAAAGTCCTTGAATCTGGTGTTCATGAAAGAGTGGGAACCCTGTTATAAGTACTAATAAACAGCCAGTATGCTAGTAATATGCACGCTAATAAGCAACTAGTTAATAGTAAATAGTGTTCCCTAATCTAAAGTATTAACAGAAGTTAACTGGATGTGAAACAAAAAGTGATTTTAGATCAGATTTAAAAATCAGGAAATTCAAAACAGTAATAGATTATAAATATGACTGGGTGCATGCCATTTTTAAGCTTGGTGTCATATTTTTTAAATCGTGGCACAATAAAGCTGAATTTCTACCAGTCGCATGATATTGTACCATCATACCACCACCCAGCTCTATCCATGCCTCTCAGTTTGAGAACCTCTGTTCTGCAATGGATCTTTGTTTTTGTTATTTGCTGCTGGTTAACTTCTTTGCAGTTTCTCACACAGACCCAGTAGTGTCACATCAATCTCCAACCAAGGAAATGATGATTTATCATTCCCACAATCTCATTCACAAGCCTGTGTGTTTACCCTACCTTACCTACCTGTTTGGATCAGCCCTCTGTCTGTCTGTGTCTTTCTGTCTGTTGATGGCTCATCTCTGTCCTGCACAGATCACCCAGGTTTACACGCAGACCTACTGAAGTGAACGAGCTTGTGAACAGGTTGAGGTAACAGATGGACGGGCATGATGGGCCGCTCTCACTGCATGCGTGTGCAGCTCAGAGCACAGTGAATCAGCCTCATTCCAGAGCCCATACATAGATGAAAAAGCTTTGACAGTCCATTAACAGGCATGACCCTTGACTTAAGAAAAAGATTGTCTCACATAGATTGTCTCATTTTCTAACAGCATAAAGTCTCATCTGCTTTGCAGCATATTATTGCGAGGCACCACCCTCTTAGTCAGGAAAATGTTTTAGAGGAGGGTTTATGTGAAATAGATTACAGTTCTTCAGAGTTCTGCTGCAGTTTTAGAGTTTTACCATTATGCATCAGATTGTCAGTACTCTGGTGGTCTGTGGGCAAGTGTCTGAGGCTGAGATTACGCCAAGCCGCCTTCACAAAAATTTGAGCGAGAGTAATGAGAGTTTGGCTTTATTGATCCTGCCAAATAGATGCAGAACAACAAATTCAGCATACTAGATTACTTTGCCGTTTTTAACAGGCTGTGACAACCACGCTTGGTCATGTGACTCAGTGTGATGGATGAATGAACCTACACGTGGCTTCTGGCTGACTGCTTTAGATGCCATTTATTACTATCATAATCAGTGGACAAATAGCTAAATAAAGCAAATGAACAAATGACAAACATTTTTTTTTTTTTTTTTACATTTTTTAATGTTTGCTACATTTGCAGTAGTCTTTGTCATCATTTTATCTTCATCATTTATTCTGTTTGCATTTCATCTTTGTTCTGTTTTACTTTTAATTAGTTGATTGCTTTTTTTTTTTTTTTATATGTCATTTAATCAGAATTATTCATATTAATAATCACCCAAATCAGACACCCTTAAAGGAATAGTTCACCCAAAAAATGAAAATTCTGTCATCATTTACTCATCTTAATGCCATTCCAATCATAGAAGACTTTCTTTCACCCACTGGAACACAAAGGAGTTGTTTTGAAGCAATAGTTCTCAAACTGGGGTATATCAAAAATATATAATAGTGAAGCATAATATATTTATATACATAATACATCATATATTTAATATAAATATATTTATTTAAAAATGAAAGATATTGTAAAGACTTTAATGCTTTTAAAGCTGTGCATACAAAAACACTTTGTTTTAGATGCTGTCAGTGCATCCTTTTTGTACATTTCATCTTATATCCAAACTTTACATGTAAGTGTTTTATTTTGTACAAATAATAATAGAATCTGGTTAAAGTGACTCTGTTTAAAGGTATAAACTAAGTTTACTGTAGCCCTAAAATAGTTCTATGTAATTAACAGATTTAAACTGTTAATTATCCATTGTAAATATGTCCCTTCTCCATACAGTAGCTCTCAAATCTCAGTTTCATTTCTTATATTGTGTTCACATATTTTCACACGTATTCCATATTGGGTGAACAATCCTTTTAACAAACCTGTAAAATGTATCCACTACATGCTACTAGCATCAAAGTTTGCCACTTTTTGTTTTCGTTTGTCCTTGTTTTTTTTTGTTTTTTTTTTTCATTCTTACCATTTCTTTCTTTGTTCCACCCCATCAGATCCCCATTCCCTGACTACCATAAGCTGAATGAGGATGGAGAACTGTGGCTGGTTTATGAAGGGTTAAAGGAAACTAACAGGTTAAAGAACAGAGAGATGAGAGCATGTGTGAGAGTCTGAGCTTTCAGCTTTCTCATCTCTCCATCCTCCGTTTTTAGACTGATTTTGGTCCTTGAGCTTTCTAAAGACATAATCATCTAGCATTGTGCTGTTTATACTTACCTGAACACTAGTGCCTGCAGAATGATCTCCATAACATATGGCTAGTGCTTCATGGTATCAAAACCTGCAAGAAAGAACTCTTTGTAGTGTTAATACTGGACTAATGAAAATTAGATTGGAAAAGTCTTATTTTAAAACAGCATGTAGTTACGACTGCCATAAAGAGGCTATGAATAAAGGTCAGTACTGCTGCACTGCAAGAAGCAATGGGCAGATTTCTCAGCCTTAGTTGGGAATGGTTCACTCAAAAATAAAAAGTTGGCCATTATTTATGTCTGAATGTCAAGAACATCACATTCGTCCACACCATTTTGACAAAATCAATCACCACCAAAGTAGCATGAAACTAGTCTGTGCAACTGTGTGATATTCCAAATCACCTGAAGTCATATAGCAGCTTTGTGTGAGAACCAGATGGAAATAGTTATTCACTGAAATAAAATTAAATATAAAAACTTTTTTTTTCCAGATTGCTTAACATTACTAATTTTAATTTAGTTTAACTTGATGTACTAAAACAACTAAAACTGAAATAAAAAAAATAAAAAAAACTGTATAGACGTTACAAAAATGACAAACACAACAAAATTACTAAAACTTTAAAATGAAAATATAAATGTATAATATAAATTTAAGAAAATATAAAAATGAATTCAAATATTAAAAAGTTATAATAAAAGCTATAGTAGTATTTTAAAGATACTACGATTGCACTGACCAGCACAATATTTTAGAAATCAAACATGAAGATTAACAGTGAATAACAACATCATTTTTGGAATGTAGCACACAGATTGCATGTTCTATTTTTATGGTGAAATATCATTGTGTGGAAATGCTGCATAAAAGCTGTATAAAACTCTTTAGAAATTCTCCTTACATCATTTAGGTTAAAAATTCTGAGTGTTAGTAAATAATGACAAGTTTTTTATCTTTGGATGAGCTGTTCCTTTAACGCTTCGAAACAGAAAAACTCAAAACGAAATCAAATGCTCTTCTAATGAAGAACTGTTTTTCTAGTTGTTTGCTCTCTCTGTCTGTGTAGGTTGTTGGAGTCTCAGTTGCAGGCTCAGCGTCGGTCTCATGAGAACGAGGTGGAGGCTTTGCGTGGAGATTTGCAGAGTGTCAAAGAGGAGAATAACCGTCAGCAGCAGCTGTTAGCTCAGAACCTGCAGCTTCCTCCAGAGGCTCGAATCGAGGCCAGTCTACAGCACGAGATCACGCGCCTCACCAACGAGAACCTGGTCAGTCCAAACTCTTTTCTAACACTTCCCAGTGGTTGTCAACCCACAGCTGGCAACTCCATCCTTTTCTTTTCCTCTCGACAGCATTAGGTGCCCTATAAATGTGAGTTGATTAGTAGAGTAGTGTACTGTCAGTTTAAGTGAATCAACATTTTCATAATAATATTAAACTGGTGTATAGTAGCCTAATAATCCCAGGTGGTTTTGTTTATGATGTAATTTTCAAAATGAAATGATATGCAGCCTTGCTCTTGAGCCTTAATATGGGCAAATATAGAAGAAGGTTAAGAACCACTTCCCTGTACAAAATGAGTTTATGAATGTTGGCCCTCAGCAGAAAGCTCTTCACAGTCTAAAACATGTATTTTCTTAATTTCTGATGACATTTCAAGACCCTATCATATGATAAATGTAGTATTGTGGTCTTTAGTCCATAATCATACTAATTCAATAAGAATAGAAAAGTCCACACTATAATGATAACGGCATAGAGGAATGATATCGTGGTAATCACTTTCAAAACTTTTCCAGCTGATAAACGATAAAAACACTGATCAGAATCCTTCCAGCTTTAAAGAGCTTAAGCATTTAAAGTGGCAGATGACAACTGCAGATTGCGCTTATAATAAACAGAATTTATTTTGGTATGTACGCTAATATAGTTATCATTATAGTTATGATTCTTTGTGTGAACAGGCTTTAAGAATATAATAACCTATACTTTTTTTGTCCAATCATGGTTGATGCCATCCCTGCTCATTTTATGATGGAATACACTGCAGTACAGCAGCAGAACAATTACACACAGTGATTATTTTGTCTGGGCTCAGATTTATAGATTTTTAGGTAGTATTGTTTTTTTTCCCCTCTAGTTTGTGGGGAAAAAAAGCAGAAATGCTGCAAATAATGCATATTTATTTGTTAATAATGCATAATATTTAAGTTTGCATACACAGAATCCTGATTTTTCTTTTTTATTCTAGAATAAGAATGTCCCTCCCCGTAATATCACATTCCACCAAATAGCAGTAGCAATAAATAAATCATAGATGGCTGTGTTTTTAAAATAAAGGGCTAGAACTTCTTATATAAATCCCACTCCAATATCCTGTTTTAATAGGAAAAACATCAATCAAAAGTGGTATTTGCATTGGAAAAACAGTTCAGAAAGCCTGCTGCTTAAAGGTGGGGTAAGCGATTTTTCAAAAACGCTTTAGAAAACGCATACAGTGTAGACCATAGATATGTATATATATCTATGGTGTAGACAGCATCACTGATTATAACGAGTTCCATAGTATTTTGTCGCGCCGCACCACTCGCGTCCGGTGTAGACACGGTGTAACATTGGTTTGGCTTTGTTTCACAGAACTAATCGTTGCCTGGGCTGCGTACGTACGTCTCTATCAAATTAGGGGCGAGACCCTTCTGGGGTAGGAGCGTGTTTGTTTTGGTGATTTCAAATGTCAGCATTGGCTACCAGAAATCGCTTACCCCACCTTTAACCTTTTGTTTCGTATGATTCAAAATAAAGGATTTCAGATTTACTCACTCATGAAACCGTGGAGTGTGATTTTGGTCTGAGTGCCGTACTGTGCATCTGCACCAGGTTTTTGAGGGCTCATCTGATGTTGAGATGTTTCATTCACAGGAGCTTCACGCTGCTGATCCAAAGGAGTATAAAGCCTACAGAATCAGCATGTTACGCAGGATGGTTGTATGTAGGATTGTGTGTACGAGTGTGTTTGCGCATGTATCAGAACACTAACTGACACTAGTGTGTGCTGCACAGAATCTGAGCTGCGTTGAACTCTAACTGTGTATTTAACCCACAGCAATGTGAATCAACACACTTTTTAATATGTTTCTCTCTCGATTACTGGGTGAATCTCACAAAAACTGTCACCCCAACATAAAAAATAAATGTTCAAAATTTTCATTAAGCATTTTTTTTCTTTTTCTTTTTTTTTTGATGAGGTGGAATGTGACTTTTCTTTGTGAGACTCACCCATCTTTGTTGCTATTTCTCTATTTTTTCCTCTCTGTTTAATGAGTTGCATGGACAGATGAAAGACAGAGCTGATATCTTCAGATTGTTGCAGAACTTAAAGATGCTCGGTTGACCTGCTTTGTCCCAATTCTCTCAAATAAACCCTTTATTTAAATATTTTTCACCCTCCTGCTAAAGAGACTCATTTGTCATACTGTTGCTGCAATTGTCTGATGATGATGTCTGTCTCTGTGGTGACAGGATCTTATGGAGCAACTGGAGAAACAGGACAAGACAGTCCGCAAACTGAAGAAACAGTTGAAAGTCTTCGCAAAGAAAATCAATGACCTGGAAGGTACGTGTTACAGGCTGTTTAGAGACTGTTTAGAAACAAATCTATTGAACAACTTAAAATTACATTTATGAACCTGAATGTTTATGTCTGTGTTGATGTTTGTCTTTGTATTGTAGGTTGCCAGATGGACGTGTCTCCAGGACAGACGGCCGACGAGCCTGTTCATCCAGTGAACATTCCACGCAGGGAGAAAGATTTCCAGGGAATGCTGGAATACAAGAAAGAGGATGAGCTCAAACTGGTCAAAAACCTCATACTTGGTAAGACACATAGACCAATGACTAAAAATAATAAATCTATTAAATGACTTAATTGGTTAGATTCCAACTTGCCCAATTCCTGATTCCATTCCATGCCACTATCTTTTTAATTAAAGTGGCAAAATACCTTAATAATACAGTAACAAAAAAACAACTGACTGGCTTGTGCATGTGTGATTTTTGTCAGAGCTAAAGCCTCGTGGTGTGGCAGTGAATTTAATACCAGGTCTGCCGGCATACATCCTCTTCATGTGTCTGCGTCATGCCGACTACATTAATGATGACCAGAAAGTCCGATCTCTACTCACCTCCGTCATCAACAGCATCAAGAAGATCCTCAAGGTCTTAATACTCTCGCAGACCATTCATAACACAGCTGTCTTTTTAGAATAGTCTTAAAAAGGCAAAATATCTTCCTTTCTCATTACTGTTTTGCTTTTTCTACAGAAAAGAGGTGATGAATTTGAGACTGTTTCCTTCTGGTTGTCCAACACATGTCGTTTCCTGCACTGCCTGAAACAGTACAGTGGCGACGAGGTGAGATATCACACCTTAGACATGCATGTCCTGTCTTTCTCGTTCTGGCCATGTACCCTGCAAAGTTTCTAGAAGTTGAAAAAAGGTTCTAGAAGTTGGACTCTAGAAGGTTGACAGTGAACCATAAAGGTGCAGTCATATTTAAGGCAAAAAAAGGTCCATTGTCTCTTGTCAAAAGCATAGAAATATATAAAGCACAGCTCACACAGACAGTATTAATTTCGTTGATGAATAATTTTCGTCATATTTTTTGTCAACAACAGTTGAGTTCACTTTCACATCTTATCACACTTGAATGGATAAATACACACAAAAGTATGTCAAAATGTCTGTTTTGGCAAGCATTCAAGCAAACAGTCAGTTATTCATGCAAACACAGTTCAGAGAATCAGATGTGCATCAGTATATTAGATCCTTGTATTAGGTCTTAAAGTGAATGCAGCCTAATAAACCTTCTGCTGTTTGTGTCCTTAATGTTAATTAAACAACAAAAGAAAAAGAGAGAATCACTCACTGCTATTGACTGAATAACTTTTATAGCTTTAATAAGGATTAATCTATATTTGATTTATACAAATATACATGTATGCTTGAAAGAATGAAGAATGTTGAATGCAAGTTGTTGTAAAGAATGCATATACATATAACCTCTTGACTTTTATTGAAAACAAGTTTTTTTCATGAGAAGTGTTTTTATTTATTGTATTTATGTCACAACAGTTGTATCTATCTCTGTATTGCATGTTCAAACCTTAATATTCATATTAAAATGTTAACAGATGTTATCTCCAGAATTATATAATGAGTTTGGAAATTTTAGAGAAATTTTTGTGTGAGTTCACTACTGTGTGTATGCACTTGGATGGGTTAAATGCAGAGCACAAATTCCGAGTATGGGTCACCATACTTGGCCACATGTCACTTCACTCACTTTCACTTTTTTAATTAAACAGTAGAATATAGTACTAGTGAACAGACTCAAGAGATGCTTTTGTTTGTGATTTTTTTTAAGCTCCTGCTTTTAATGGACGGAGATTTTTATTATTTTATAGCGATTATATTCACAAAGAGCAATGTGTAGCTGGTGAAATAATTTAAAGCTGTAAATAAAATAATGTTATATTCACAAAGAATGTGTCCAAAAAAATTAAATGGTTCTAAAAAAAATTGCCCATAATTTTAAGAAAATATAATTTCTTATCTAGAGAGAGTGTTGTGTTTAATCACAAACAGCTGGAAATGTCTGGGAAAAGTCATTGAAATCCATTGTTCAAAAGGTGTGGGAATCCTGTACATTACCCAGTGATTACCTATTTTTCTGCATTGTACAGTATATGTGGCCACAGTTTCTCTCAGTCTCCAGTGTTCCTCAAACTGAATCAACACTTTCTCCTTCTTCTCTCTCCAGCAATTCATGAAGCATAACACTTCTAAACAGAATGATCACTGTCTCTCCAACTTTGACCTGGCCGAGTACCGGCAGGTTCTGAGTGATCTGGCCATTCAGATCTACCAACAGCTCATCAAGTGTATGGAGAACATCCTGCACCCCATGATCGGTGAGCATATGACCTCTGGGTGTCTTTCTATCGATCTGTATCACTGTTTCTCTCTCCCTGTGTATTTATCCCTCCGTCTGTTGCTCTCGGCAGTCTCTGGCATGCTGGAACATGAAACCATCCAGGGCGTGTCTGGGGTGAAGCCAACAGGTCTCCGTAAGAGGACGTCCAGTATTGCTGATGAGGGGACATACACATTGGACTCCATCATCCGGCAGCTCAACTCCTTCCACTCCATCATGTGTCAGCACGGAACCGACCCAGAGCTCATCAAACAGGTGGTCAAGCAGCAGTTCTACATCATTGGTGCTGTCACCCTTAACAACCTGCTGCTGCGTAAAGACATGTGCTCCTGGAGCAAGGGCATGCAGATCAGGTGTGTGCAGATAAGTTTTACATGTTTGCAAAGCAGTGCAATGTTTTTATTTTACAGAAATTACAAATTAAATATAAACAGTCATATGTAGAATATTAATGAAGTTTAAATTAATCTAAACTATACAGTGGAGATCAAAATTAGAGAACAATTTATAAATATTTAATTTTTTTCTGAAATAATGAAAATCTGAACTTTGGTTAAATGAGTCCACCCGGAAATGGAAGAAGGATAAGCTTCAAGTCTCATTTGAGATCTTTAAGGGGCTGTTATTTGATTACCAGAAATTGGTTAAAACTGTAAGGGACAAAAATATTTCTGACTTCATCGGAAAAATCACAGTAGCCCAAGAGTTTTATTCAATGCGGTGATTAATCCACCTGCTTCGGTTGGGTTTGAAGTCTGCACAATCATGTGAAAAGTTCCAAAAAAAATGTATAGATGAAATTGCTGGTATTAGATCTTCCATTCAGTTGATTGGATTATGATAAACCAGTTCTTTTGCCAACATGCTTGACTGTTTTTCATCAGTTTGAGCCAGTCGCTATGACAGATTTGGCAGCGATTGTCAAACATATGAAACCCCAGCACGGTTTTTGAAACAGGTTTTTAATGTTGTCGGTCCCAGTATTTCGAAGCTAATAAATAATTGCCTGATGACAGGTTTTTTACTAGCTGATATTAAACATGCCATAGTGCAGCCATTATTAAAGAGATCACGTTTGGACCCCACTGATTTATCTGTGAAAAAAAAACGTTTTTGAAGTTTTGCACATCTGGTGTTCGAGCAAAACGTAGAACAGAATTTCTGGAGCCTCATCGGTCCTAATGTTATTGGACCTAAGTGTGGCCTTTGATACTGTAGATCATAATATTTTGGTTTCTTGGCTGGAAAACCATATTTGAATTTGTGGAGTAGCCCTTAAATGGTTTAAGTCATATCTACAGTAGTAGTTAGAAGCTTTGCAGTTAAACTGGGCGAATATATGTCAACGTCAGCTCCACTAAAGTGTGGAGTCCCTCAAAGGTCTATTCTCACCCCCCTTTTGTTTTCAATGTATTTACTCACTTTGGTAACTATATTTAGGAAACATGGTGTTTCTTTTCATTGTTATGCCGACGATACTCAGATTTATCTGCCACTTAACTGACATCAAGGACTGGATGCCGTTTAACTTTTTTAAATTCTGTTAAATATAAAACTGAGATTGTTTTTTGATCCAGTTGGAAACCAACCCACTATAAAATCTTTTCTTGGCTCCTGGGCTGAGCATAATAAAGCAGTGGTGAAAAATCTATGTGTACTATTTGACTCAGAATTTAAATTTGACAAGCAAATAAATTCTGTGGTCAAATCTTGCTTTTTAAATTTGAGACTTTTAGCAAAGATTAAGCCCTTTCTTTCTTTTAGAGACCTAGAGATTAAATCATGTTTAGACTATTGTAATACTCTCTGTATGGGAGTTGGCCAGAAAGCCCTGGCATGTCCTACAGACAGTTCAAAATGCGGCTGCGAGATTGCTGACAAGCACTCGAAAGCGTGATCATATTACTCCTATCCTGTCTTCTCTCAAATGGTTCCAGTCCGTTCCCGGATTGAATATAAAATGTTATTGTTCGTTTTTAAATCTCTGAATGGTTAGGCACCAAAATACCTTGGAGACATTAGTGAACCGGCATTCCTTTTTTAGGCCCCTGAGATCATCTGTCCAGCTTCTTTTAGTGGTTCCCAGTTCAAGATTAAAACTTAGGGGGATCGTGCCTTTTCAGTTGCTGCCCCCAAACTTTGGAACTCATTGCTCAGACCATTTCTAGATTTAAATCTTTGTTAAAAGCTCATTTATTAACTATGGCTTTTAATTCCTCGGGCTGTTAATCCTTAAGGGTGTATTTGTATCATGTATTCTTGTTTTACGTTATGTTTGTTCTATGTCTATGCCCATTCTCATTGTTTTATTTTCTTTTGATGTACAGCAGTTTGGGCAACCTTGGTTGTATGGAAATGTGCTTAATTAATTAAAATAAATAATCTTCATCGCTCAAAATTTGAAGGAATATTAGATGTAGGTATACCACTGTTATACTAACATGTTTGACAAAATAGCCAAGGCATTTCAACAAAAAACTTTATTTTGTAGAAAACAGTGATGAAAATTAGAGAACAGTAACCAATGTAACACAAAAGAAAAATTACAACTAAAATGTTGGAGGGTTACAGCTGTCAGAAATTAGTAGGAAGTGTAGAGGCCCTTGTTTTGAATGACTTCAGCACATCTGTGGCCACAGGACATCACTAGTTTCTCACACTGCGCCGTTGTGATCTTGGTCCTCTCTTCTTCCAGTCTCTTCCATAGTTCGGTAACTGTAGTGGGTTTCTTAGTCATAACTTTGTTGCCAAAGATTTTCCAGAGATTTTCAATCAGGTTTAGTTCAAGACTCCGGGCCGGCCATTTCATTATTTAAGTGTTCTTAGCTTCAAGGAACTGCTTTTCCTGTTTTGCAGTGTGACCGGGGCATTGTCTTGCAAGTAAATTGCAGGCTGATTGGGAGATGCTTGCAGGGAAGGAACTGCATGTTGCTGAAGGAGGTTCTGATAAACATCTGCCCAACTCCTGCTGCAGAAAACATCCCCCCAATACTTCCTCCTCCACCTTTCACTGACTTCTTTACGCACTCAGTCTTTCCCCAGTTTGATGCCAAACAAAATGTTTCCCGTCAGATTCAAATAAATTAAACTTGCTCTTATCACTAAAGTGAACTTTGAACCAGTTCTCATCTCTCCTTACAACATGCTCCTCAGCAAAGGTGAGCCTAGCCTTTTGATTCTTTCTGTTAATGAGAGGCTTCATAACTGCAGAGTGTGCTTTCAGTCCGACTTCTGTTAAACATACCGAGACAGATCCTTACCCTGTTTAGCGCTGAACTGGCAAGCGATTCCAGCTGCAGTGTTGAACCGATTCCCCATTGAGAGTCTCGGCATTATCCTGTCCTCTCGTGCATTTGTCTTATGTGGACGACCAGCCTTTTTGGGGGACATGAATTTGTGTCATTGTAAAGCTGCAATATTCAAGAAATCACAGATTTAGAACGACCAACTTCTCTTGCAGTGGCTGAAAGGGTCATCCCTTTAGCCTTCATCTGGACAACCTCCAGTCGCAGGCTTTCATTCACCTTAGAGCAGCCCGCCATCTTGCAATCTCAGTGAAAATTGGAGGTATGCTTCCATTTAAATAGGGTTTGTCATATAATCAAGGAAATTAGCACCAGGTGCCAGATTAACACTAATAACTTGGAGGTATCTGTAAGTGTTCTCTAATTTTGATCAGAGTTCTTTTTCAAATATCTCGTTTAAGTTTTGTATACTGTGCTTCAGAATACAGTTAATTTGTTAAATATGCTTAAAACACGGTCCTTCTACTCCTGTTAGGATAACTTCAAATAGGACTAAGCAGTGACCTTGAAATTCAGGAAATTGTAGGTTGTTCTCTAATTTTCATCTCCACTGTATGTTGAAATTTTTCTTAAATAAATCTTACAGAAAAGTCATAGCTAAATATAAAATAATAATTCCTGCCCTATTAACTTTGGCAGAATCACTAGTTCTTTCTCAGAAACACTCATTTTAGTAACCTAGTATTTTGTAAATTGATCAATAAAAATCTCTATATATATTTTTTTTTTTCAAATAAATGCTGTTCTTTTTTAACTTTCTATTTATCTGTTCTCAATAGTGATAATAAGAGAAGTTTCTTGAGTAGCAAATCAGCATATTAGAATGATTTCTGAAGGATAATATGACACTGAAGACTGGAGTAATGATGCTGAAAATTCAACTTTGCCATCACAGGAAAAAAGTTACATTTTAAACTGTATTAAAATGTAAAACAGTTATTTTAAATTATACTAATATTTCACAATATTGCTGTTTTACTGTATTTTGATCAAATAAATGCAGCCTTAAGAGACTTCTTTCAAAACATTAAAAAAAATTTACCGACCCCAATCTTTTGGTAGATAACATTGTATGTACAGTTAGCTCAGGATTCAGTTGTCGGTCATAGTTTATTTCCAGTCATCTTATCTCCAGTATAAGGGTTTATATGTGTGTGTGTTCAGGTATAACGTGAGTCAGCTGGAGGAGTGGCTGAGAGATAAGAACCTCATGACATGCGGTGCGAAAGAGACGCTGGAGCCATTGATTCAGGCCGCACAACTACTGCAGGTCAAGAAGAAAACCGATGAGGATGCTGAGGCCATCTGCTCCATGTGTAACGGCCTCTCTACAGCACAGGTAACACACATCCCGGACTGCACTTCATGATCTATTTGTATCTGTTATGGAGCACTTGATTCATTTTTCTGATTATTTTATAGATGTTTACCATTTCATTTCAGTTTGATTTCATATCATCCAGTATTAATTATTTGAAAAAGACAATTTATAACATTTCAGGCCTACTAATATCACTCACCCATGACCAAACATAATGACCTGCTTACTGTTGTCGCTCACTACTTTTTCAAAAAATAATACACATTACAATCAATTCAAGAATCACATTTTAAAACAGTCCTTTATAGTGCAGTTCAAAATATACAAAATTTTGTAATATCCCATGAGGCAATATTTTTGTATTAAAAATAGATAAAACAGTGTTTACATATTTAGCTGTTTCAGTGCAGTGTTCATGACTTTTTAAATTAAAACCATTATGATCAAAAGTACTCTTTTAATCATGTTTACATTGTCAACCAAAATTTAATTCAATAATTTTTTTCTTCATGTTTTACTGTGGTAATGTTTCCAAAATAAAGGAAAAAACACCAGATAAGGGATTTTGTCAGAATAACAAAGTATACTGAATGTTTTTATAATATTATTATAGTTATGGTTTTGTTGTTTTTGTCATTTTTACTAGTTTTTATATTTTTGTCTATATCTTTTTTTTTTTACATCAATGTTTATTTTATTTGAAGTAATTTTTTTTTTTGAATGGTTTAAGTTTTAGTTTCAGTTTTAGGCCATGTCCACACGTACACGGGTATTTTTATAAACAGAGTTTTTCCTTCTTCCTTTGTGGCGATATAATCTCAACCGTAAAGCCATGTTGGCCAATCAGAAGCCTGAAAAAGTTTCCAGTAGGCGGAGATAACGCATGCTCCGACATCACAAGCCAAAAACTCCTTTTTGAAAATCTTCACCCTGGCAGGCGTTTTCAAAAATGTTCGGTTTCAGTGAACTGGTGCTGCGTTTGCGTGTGGACGAACGGCCTAACTGCGTAGAAAAAGCTGCGGTTTTAAAAAATATCCGCATTCGTGTGGACAGGGCCTTAGTTTTAGCTAATTATAATACCCTTGAGACACACACACACACACACACACACACCCTCATCATTTCTTATTTTCTGTCCAGATTGTGAAGGTGCTGAACTTGTATACGCCTGTCAACGCGTTTGAAGAGCGTGTGTCAGTACAGTTCATAAGAACAATACAGGTATGTTTCAAAAACTCAACCTTATAATAGTTCTTGTGCTTTTTAAGTCGTTATACTGTATGTTTGTCCATGTGTGAATGCTTCAATCTGAGTCTTTGCTCTGCCAGACACGTTTACGGGATCGAAAGGAGTCGCCTCAGCTTCTGATGGACACCAAAGTCATCTACCCCGTGACCTTCCCCTTTAACCCCTCCTCCCTGGCCCTGGAAACAATTCAGATACCCAGCAGCCTCAATGTGGGCTTCCTCACTCGTGTGTAGACCCGTCAATCACCTCACCTCAACCATTCACACGGCAGGAACAGGGAGCCAAAATATATAAATAAATAAAAAATGATGATTATAGGTAAATAAGCCACACACTTAAAGAGAATGCAATATAGATCATGTCATCAATCCTTCTTTTTGCACTTCTTCATCACTTTTATTTATTCAATAAAAGAGTGAATCTCACAAAACCTGTCAAGCACGTTTTCAGATCACAATTGACCTCAAAATCAAAAGAAACACATAAGCTATATTTTGTTTAAATAAAATGAAGCTCATCTTTAGGACAATTAATATTTTGACATTGTTATTTTAATGGCAATTAAGCACTTTCCCCAAAAATTCTTATTACTGAAATGCAAAAAAAAAAAAACATCTTATTGTAATGTGAAAACAAATATATTATTTACATAGTATAGTATTTGCTAACATATGCTGATTAAAATAGTAATTAAAATTCACTTGAATGCAGTAATTAATTAATAATTAATACCATGATTTATTATGAATAAAAATTATTAATGAGAATCAACACTGAGAATAATGTCAATGACAGAAATGCTCAAAACTCATATCCACAGCAATGCAAAAAAAACACAAAAAAAAACAGAAAAATCTGTTCTTCATTTACTTCATGGAAAATATATTCTTATATTTTCTTTTGATTGCGGGACCTGGATATTTTTGTGAGATTTCACCTCTTAAACTGGAATATTTCAGAGATGTTTCACTTATTGAATGTTACGAAAGGAACAATAAAGGTCAAAATAACACTAATGCCTTTTCAGATCACAACCAGAATAAGTTCACGGGGCTGTATAATCGTACACATATAAATGTTTATAAATATGTATGATGCTAGGATATTTTATTTATTGCTTTACCCTGTCAGATTTTTTTTTTCTCTTAGATGCTAGCTAACATGGATATCCAGTTGCGGAACATACTCTAGTCCTCTGCACTCATCCATATCAAAATAATAACTTAGACTCAGTAAAAAAAACAAAAAAAAAACCTTGGAGCTCAGCTGACTTCATTAACGTAGGTGTTTATTTGTTAGTTGCGTGTGGTGATGTTGATTAGCTAATAAGTAATCATGTCTGGTGTAACTCTGGCGGAAAGAAAACTTAGCATCCATGCACTGAGCTTATCCCTTCCTCAAGAGCTTCCTCAAGTTTACATCTCTGATCTTCAGGAATCATTTCTAAAGAGATGGTACAGTCCAGACCCAGTGCATGATGGGATTGTTTGGGTTTGCATAATACCGACCAGCTCTGTCAGCATCGAACATATCAAGAACACGAGATCCGTGTTCCACAGCTTTCAGCAGAGCTAGAGCTGGTTCAGGTGGGATCTAGACTCCTGAATGCGGTTTAATGAAGCCTCTAACATTTTATTGGTTAGTGAATCTCATGAAGAAATGTCCCAGGGAAATATCAAATGAAACAAATAACAAAAACGGTTTTTGCACTAAGAACATTAAGCCTATTTTATGAAGATTATGATTTCATTGTTGCATTATTTTCATCACAAATAAGCATATTTTAATCCCAAATTCTCACTATTGTAATGCAGTGATATATATTACCATTACCTTACATGTGTACTTTACAATTTAAATATCATAATTTATAATTTTTTGTATTACAGTAATGAGAATTGATGGAGAAATGGCCTTCATTTTGCAAATGGGCAAACAAAAAAAAAACATAATATTGGTCAGTTTACAGTAATATGCTTTTTTTTCTTCTTTTTTTTTGATGATGATGAAAAGACGAACAAGAAAATGGCTTTTGTGAGATTTAAAGAAGCATCTTGTATGCACAAAAGCACACTGGATATCCCATACAGAACTAAAAGAAACCCCAAACTACTGACTCTATCAAAACATGAAGATGTTTCACAAAAGCCTGCTGTTATTTATTTCAGTATTATATGTTTTTAACGGATGGAAACGGCTATTGTTTTTATGGCATGTGCTGTTGGATGAGTTAATATATACTGTATGGACAAATTTCTTTTTGTCACTTGTTTTGTTTTGCTTTGCTTGTTTGTCTTTTGTGTTCACGCCTGGCCGGATGTCAGTATTATCTTGAATGTGGCAGGCAGCTTTTATTGGAAAGCTGTTTGTTTTGATCTGTAACTCCTGAAATTAAAGCAGTCTCCTTAGTGCAGCCATGCTTTCCATCACACGCATAGACATTCGCACACCCTATTATTATATATTATATTATATTATTAACATTTTAGGGTCAAATGATGCATGTTGATACTTTGTTTCTGCTGTCTACTGCATGGGTTTTAGCTTTAAAATCTTCCACACTAGTTCAGTGTGTTATTGGCCATTAACACAGCTTTGGATCTAAATAGAGAATCTTATGCCATTTCACTATAGTGCACTGGGATTTTATCATGCCTTACTGTAGTTACAGTCCTTCTTGTATCGCACAGTGCTTCTGTATCATTTTATCAGTCTCAACTGCTTTCTGATTGAGATCAATGTTTGTGATGCATTGTCACAAGAAAAAAAAATGTGTGTGTGTGTGTGCGCATACATGACAGTGCAAACCATAGTTCTAATCAATGTTGTATTGTTTTCCAGTTACATTTTTTTTTTGCATATCTTGAATTACATTTATTTTTTCATACCTCATTGGCAAATTGTTCCATATTTTAAGCATTTGCAAAAATTTAGTTGCAAATACCTAATGGGGTAAGGGGAAAAAGTTAACATATTCTCTGAAAATGTCTTATTTTGCTTCTCAGTTAAATTTATTTCCTTTACATAATTTTAGATTTTTTTTGTCATTTTGATATTTTTACTGGAAAACAAGACAAAAATAGTGATCAGTGGTTATTTTTTGCAGACAGTGTATTAATATTAATATAATACAGCATTCAACATCTCAATTCTGATCAGTGTACAGAATCATTCAGGAGTTTATGATCATGGGACCATTGTGTGAATGTGACCTTTGCTTTTTTTTTTTATTGTGTTGTTAGTTCAGTTCTTATGGAATTCAAATAAAAATGGTTGGAAGATTTACAAATGCAATTTGATAAAAAAAAATGCATATTACTTCAAATGGAAAATAATGGAAAATAATGAAGTTGTACTGGAACACAAATGGAAATGTAAAAAAAAAAATCTTATGGAATTCAAATAAAAATGGTTGGAAGATTTACAAATGCAATTTGATAAAAAAAAAATGCATATTACTTCAAATGGAAAATAATGAAGTTGTACTGGAACACAAATGGAAATGTAAAAAAAAAAAAAATTGAATGTTGACATGTTTGTACATGGTTTTATTTACATTGTCATATTTTAGATAAAGCCTTACCTCTGAATGGACAACATGTCAATGTAACACGTTTGTTTCTCTGTGGTGTTTCATATTCTATTAATTTGCTTTATTTACATTTGTGAAGCATAAACCTATAACATTCCTGTTGAAATGGGTATAATTTTCCAAATGGCTCTTTAAAAAAAATGATTTGCACATTTTTAAAAATCTCAGACTTGTCGCACCGATCCAACAGCCCTGTTTTAGACTTTCCTCAGCTCTACGTTCTGAAGTGGTTTGTAAAAAATGACATCCACATTACATCAGCTAGTCCACAGTCTGACGCTCACTGTATCAAGATCAGCCTGCTCTCGTGCTTGTATAAAGACAGCTTATGCAGACATTGATAGATGCTGTAGTAATGCAGATCAGTTGAACATCTCAATTCTCCTTCAGCTTGGTCAGACTGGTTGTTCAGAGAGTTTGTAGTTCCTGTAGCTGTAATTAGTTCATGTGTTCATCAGTACAATTTCATGGAGTGATATACTAATGTCAAAGGCTGTTCAAGTCAAATAAATGAATTCAGCACTATGTGAATGTTTTCTTTTTAATTATATTACAAAACCATGTAACGTATTTCTATTTTAAAATAGCAAACCTGGATACTTCTGGAGAATAACAGGGAAGGACATGTAATGTTCATGTATCAGTCAACACACCTGATAAGTTCCAAGACATACTTCTATTGTCAGATACAATCATACCATAATAGTTAATACAGCCAACCAATACTTTAAAATATCTGAAAAAGCAATTGTAGCTCCTTTTAGTGGTTTTACACAAATCACAAACATTTATGTACCACTTGTCCAAACACAACAAACAAAACTCTGTAATCTGTCATATGATCAGATGCACAAGTTAGCCTATATTTTCAATAGGCCCCAAACTAATAACTGCTTGCTTACTTACACACAACACAGCAAACAGTTATTCTGATAGTTTACACATTTATCTCAATTGCTTTAACTATAAAGGAGAAAATATACAAAATAGCAAGAAAGAAAAAGGGTTGTGGAGGGGGTAGAGAAAGGGGTGTAATGAGAGAGAGAGAAGAAAAGTGGAACAGGTAGAAAGAGGTGAGATGTAAATGAAAGGCAAGATCAATAATTCAGCATAATTCATGTACAACAAACACACACACACACACACGGCCGGGGCGTAAAATACATGTAACTTAATTACGTATTTAAAATATAAAATATGAGTAACTATTTCGTTTTAGTTACATTTGAAATGGGTGGAAATCAAATTGAGATTACATCCGAAATCTATTTTAGATTACCAAAGTGATTACTTTTCATTTTAATTTATTTAATTTTATAGTAACGTAAAATGTTTGAATTTTTTTAACCAATGAGGCAACTGGTGATTCTCTGAATCTGACTCTTAAAAAAAAAAAACGTGTGCAGCCAATATTAGCACTGCAAATGTGATGCTGATTTTATGCAATTCAAAAACAAAAAGTTTATATTAAGTGACTTACTTAAAAGAACAATATTGTCTGATTTGCTCTAGCACCAACAAAAATGGTTCCATGCACCGAATGTCTATTTACACTAGTCTAAGAGCAAATCTGGTTGGGCTTGACATCGTTAGAAAAGACCCCTGTTCAAAAGCAGTGGGAGTAAGACATGGTGGTAAGTTACGACGTGATCGACCCGAGTTCGAACTCCCTTTCTTCTCCCTTTTCCCATCAGATATCTGCCACTGTTTGCACTAAGTATTAATAGCATCTAATTACTATCACTTATTGCTTTTTTTACATAGTGTGAATAGAATCTATGGCTATTTGCACTTACTGTAAATAGCATCTTTCGCTATTTGCACTTAATGCAAATAACCACTGCCTTCAAAATAAATTCACATCAGAAGAGGTGTGCGTTTGGTTCCTGAATGAAGCCGCGTTTTGAACAAATGATTCATTCTTAAAATCACTGCTTCATTCCTGAATGAATCAGTCGTTTTGAACGAACCAAATGATTCCATGACTCTTTCATTAAGAAAGTGATTTTCCACCACCTACTGGCGGTGTTAGTTTCATATTTTAAAATATAATTTATTCAGATGGGTGGATTGTGGATCAGATGGGTGTTTCTACACTTTGACTGCAGTCCACCAATTTCTATTGATTAGACATGCTTTGGAAAGTCACACCTATCTAAGGTCTAACATCTGGAAATGGATATCTGAGCCTGCAGAGACAGGATTGTGTCGAGGCACAGATCTGGGGAAGGCTACCAAAAATGTTGCTGCATTGAAGATTCCTGAGAGAACTGTGGCCATCATAATTCTTAAATTAAAAGGTTTGGAACAACCAGGACTCTTTCTAGAGCTGACTGCTTTGCCAAACTATCGGGAGGATGGCCGTGCAGAGAGGTGACCAAACACCCGATGGTCACTGTTGAGCTCCATTATTGAGATCATATGTGCAGACAGGAAAGACTTGCAAAAGGACAACCATCGCAAATGGACAAAATCAAGTCCTGCCCTATATTTTTTTCTTGTTAGTCTTCTTAGTTCACTCGGATATACTTCTCAACACAGAAGAAAAGACAATCGCAAACATTTTCAAATAAGTATTGTCAAACTTGGTGGACCTCCAGAAAATTTCTGTGGCATTATCAATATAAATATCACATGAGCCATGATCTAGCTTTGCTTACAAAGACTGAGATGTTCCTTTTATACCCAAACATGACACCTTCACCTATTACCAATTCACCAGTTCACTGTGAACTGTTTCAAAACAGTTTAATTTGGATATTCTATAAACTTTTCCCTTTTGTTTTGCCGCTGTCCCAACTTTTTTGGAGTGTGTTGCAGCCATCAAAATCAAAAAAATTGTATATTTACAAAATACCTTTAAGTTGAAGACTTTGGAAATCTTTTATTTTTACTTTGTGTCAATTAAATAAAAGTTAAAGAGGATAGTTGGTGTTTTTTCAATGTATACTTCAGACACGGGTCACGACGAGGCGTTCCCCCATAGCGACCCCTAGAGGACGCAGTTCGAAGTTCCCATGAAGGGGAATCACAGATACTTGATTTTTTTTCTCCATTTTGCAAAACGTCCCAACTTTTCTGGAATTGTGGTTGTATTAATGAAAATAAAGTATTATTTAAAAGGTTCTTCAAAGCTTTATATTAAGGTTCTATATAGCATTTTCAAAGCATGGCTCTTTATAGAACCTTATAAAAAAGTTTCTGCTTTTCTACTATTGTTACAAGCCCAATCATTTAGTGCCATTTTTCTTAAGAGTGGGGGTTGGATTGTTCATACAGAGAACATTTAGAAATATAACTGAATGGGAACGTTATAAAAAGGTTCTTAGAACATATTTTTGTTAACTAGGTTTTTACCTCATACATGGATTCATACTTCCAG